TGTAATTTCTAAGTATAGACAATTTGTTGGAAAAGGCTATGAGAGCGGAGGCTTGTTCCGCCTGTCTTTGTCAGATATTTGCACTAAAGTTATTAATAATGTTTGCCACAATAATGAGTCTGATATTTGGCATTCACGACTTTGTCACATAACTTTGGTTGCATGACGTGGCTAGCCAATATGAATTCAATTCCGAAAATCTCTACCGTCAAAGGCTCCAAGTGCCAAGTATGTGTGCAAGCTAAGCAACCCCGCAAGTCCCATAAGACTGCAGAGGCAAGAGATTTGGCGCCACTAGAGCTTATACATTCTGATCTTTGTGAGATGAATGGCGTGTTGACAAAAGGTGGAAAGAGATACTTTATGATGTTGATTGATGACTCCACTAGATATTGTTATGTGTATCTTCTGAAATCAAAAGATGAGGCTTTAACTTTCTTCAAAAACTATGAAGCTGTGGCAGAGAACCAACTTGATCGAAAAATTAAATGACTTAGGTCCGATCATGGTGGAGAGTATTTTTCCAATGAATTTGATTTGTTTTGTATGGAACATGGTATAATCCATGAGAGGACGCCTCCCTACTCACCTCAGTCAAATGGGGGTAGCCAAAAGAAAGAACTGAACTCTAACTGATATGGTTAACACCATGTTAGACACATCGGGTCTCTCCAAGGAATGGTGGGGGGAGGAGCTAATGACTGCGTGTCATGTCCTAAACCGAGTTCCCACAAAGCATAAGACCGTGACTCCATTTGAGGAATGGGAAAGGAAAAGGTTGAAACTCTCTTACCTACGTACTTGGGGTTGTTTGGCGGAAGTCAATATACCAATTCCCAAGAAGCGCAAGCTTGGACCAAAAACTGTGGATTGTGTTCTTCTGGGCTATGCTTTTCATAACATTGGTTATAGATCTTTGATAATAAAATCTAAGGTATCCTACATGCATGTTGGTACGATTATAGAGTCGAATGATGCAACCTTCTCTGAGTACATATTTCCTATGAAGGATATGTCGAGTTCATCAAATCAGGAGATACCTACTCCATCTAGTGAGGAATTCGCTGTAATTCCTGAACCCACCATTGCGATGGAACACGTTGAGAATCCTGTTGAGGGTGACAATGGAACTCCTATGAGGAGTAAGAGATAGAGGACTGCAAAGTCCTTTGGTGATGATTTCATTGTGTACCTCGTGGGTGACACACCCAGGACTATTTCAGAAGCCTATGCATCTCCTGATGCTGACTACTGGAAGGAAGCTGTTCGTAGGAAGATGGATTCCATCTTAGCTAACGAAACCTGGGAGATCACTGACCGTCTTTATGGGTGCAAACCTGTGGGATGTAAGTGGGTGTTCAAGAAGAATCTTAGACCTGATGGTACGATTGAAAAGTACAAGGCACGGCTTGTGGCTAAGGGTTATACCCAGGAAGAAGGTGAAGACTTCTTTGATACTTACTCACCCGTGGCTAGACTGACCACAATTCGGGTGCTACTATCACTGGCTGCCTCACATGGTCTTGTCATTCATCAAATGGACGTTAAGACGGCTTTCCTCAATGGAGAGTTGAAGGAGAAAATTTACATGGATCGTCCATATGGTTTTGTAGTACCTGGTTAGGAAGGAAAGGTGTGCAAGTTATTAAAGTCTTTATATGGCCTTAAACAAGCTCCTAAGGAGTGGCATGAGAAGTTCGAAAGAACATTAACTACTGCCGGCTTTGTAGTAAACGACGATGACAAGTGTGTGTACTATCGCTATGGTGGGGGCGAAGGAGTTATCCTCTGTCTGTATGTCGATGACATACTGATCTTTGGAACCAAACTTGATCTAATCAAGGAGGTTAAGGATTTATTATCTTGCTGTTTTGAGATGAAGAATCTAGGAGTAGCTGATGTTATCTTAAACATCAAGCTGTTGAGAGATGAGAATGGTGGGATCACACTGCTTCAGTCTCACTATGTGGAAAAGATCTTGAGTCGTTTTGGGTATAGCGACTGCACGCCTTCTCCAACTCCATACGATGCTAGTGTGTTGCTTCGAAAGAATCGACGGATTGCTAGAGATCAACTGAGGTATTCTCAGATTATTGGCTCGCTTATGTATTTGGCGAGTGCCACGAGGCCTGACATCTCTTTTCCTGTGAGCAACCTAAGTCGGGTTGTGTCAAAACCAGGAGATGATCATTGGCATGCACTTGAGAGAGTTATGCGCTACTTGAAAGGCACTGTGATCTATGGGATTCACTACCAGAGTATCCAAGGGTACTAGAGGGTTATAGTGACTCAAACTAGATATCTGATGCTGATGAGATTAAGGCAACACGTGGTTATGTTTTTACACTTGGTGGTGGCGCTGTTTCCTGGAAGTCTTGCAAGCAGACCATCTTAACGAGGTCAACTATGGAAGCAAAACTCGCAACATTAGACACTGCCACTATTGAAGTAGAGTGGCTTCGTGAGCTCTTGATGGACTTACCTATGGTTGAAAAACCAATACCCCCTATCTCGATGAACTGTGATAATCAAACTGTGATCGTCAAGATAAACAGTTCTAAGGACAATATGAAGTCCTCAAGGCATGTGAAGAGGAGACTAAAATCTGTTAGAAAATTGAGGAACTCCGGAGTTATTACGTTGGATTATATCCAAACATCGAAAAACTTGGCAGATCCCTTCACAAAGGGTTTATCACGTATGCATCAATGGAGATGGGTTTGAGACCCACCGCATGAGTTGTCCATAGTGGTAACCCACTCTATGTGATCGGAGATCCCGTGAAGTAGAAGTGGGAGACAAGTTGTTGGTCAGCTGTGAGGAGAGTATCCCTATAGTAATTATCCCACTCCGTGAAGATGCAATACTCTCCTGATCTGCATGGCAGGTTGATACTTATCTTAATGTGTTCCAAGTGGCTTATTCGGGTAAGCACAAATGTTGTCCTGCAGAGCATCCCCTAAGGAACACACCTATATGAAATTGACTGTTAAAGTCGCAGTCTGTGAGAATTGGGTGTTCTCTAATAAATTCGTGAAAGGCCCTGGAGTATGACGTATACGCTCCACCCGCAGGGAAGCATTGCGTCATCCCAGTATCGGTCAAGAATTTGTGTGAAACCAGTCTCGCAGAAAACTTATAGTTCAAGGCATAATCCACTATTCAAGTTGTGATCTAGTGTAGCATAAATCTCTAAGTGGAAGTTCAACTTCACAGTCTCCACTAAGCACTGGTATATAGACAATGTTTTGGAACTAAATGATGAGATGTGCCAATGAGGCTTTGTGGGGGATTGTTGGAATTTTGCTAGTAGGCCTTTGGCCCAAAGCCCAACTAAAATTTTGAAATTCTCTTGACCCATTCATGCACACATGTGAGTGGAGTGAGTGATACTAGAGTTTAGTCCCACCACGGAAGTTGAGAAAGACTTGCACCTCTTTATAAGGTGAGCTCTTCTACCACTTGTATGAGCATGAGAAGAGGAGACCTACACACGCGCTCCCCCTACTCGCTCGCCTCGCCATGCCACGCCTCGTCACGACGCGCCGCGGGTTGCGGGATTGAGCCGAGCCGAGGACAGAGCTATGCACGTTGTCTATATTTTTGCTGCTCGAGAAAAATTGATGAGTCATTAATTAATAATTAACGGATGCGTTAATTATTGAACCATTTCCGATTCTTTTGGATCGTGACGACTCGGACATGGGGTTTCCTCCCATGACCTACCCGGCTCGCACTATATAGTCAGGCAGACGTCTACCCTAGCTGCCACCGCTTCGTATGGTTTCGCACCACCGTTCCAGATCATTGCGCCACCAAGCAAGTCTTCTCCATCCCTCCTTTCGGCATGCACCGGGAGAAGGGACAGCAGGCCTCCGGAACCCCGCCTCTCATGATCCTGTACGGGAGAGGGGCGATCAGATTTTTTGGGAGCGCACTCGAGCGACTGCTGGCAGCGACGACTTCGCGAACAACGACTTCTTCCCCGACCTTGGCAACCCCATCCTCGACGACATGGGCGACAACATAAACACCGGTGGTGCTGTTCCCGCTGCACCGTATGTGATTCTATCCTTCTTGTTCGAGATCGTGGTAGAATTCATGTTTCTAGTGTGTGCCCTAGATGTGATATGTTCATCTACTATGCTAGTTCGCATGATTAGTTTAATCTCTGCAATTGCTGTCATGATTTATTTTCTGTTTATTCGGATTAAATCTCGTAGTAATTTTCTCATATTTCCAACAACAACTCATCGAATACATGCGAGACGAAAGGATTGATATTGTCGCCATCCGAGAGACGATGCGAACCGGGTTCTCCCTCTCCGGGCTAGATCCCTTTAATTAGTCCTCACCTCTTCGTGTGGCACTGGCTCCCTTCTAGTGGGATCGCAGGGCACTCCAGAGGTATCCTTCATGGAGTGAAGGACGCGACCTTTGAGGTCGGGAGTATGGAACGATGTGAGTACTATGTGAGCATGGAAGTATTCAAACTGTCGATTAACTTCAAGTGGGAGATCATCACCGTGTATGGCCCAAAGTACCATAGCCGCTCTAGCTCCTTTCTGGAGGAATTACACACGAGATAGCTAATACCCAGCTCCCGGTGGTGGTGGGAGGGGACTTCAACCTCATCTGCCACCCAGACGACAAGAATGACAATCGTGTCAATTTTCGTCGGATGCAACCCTTCAATGATTTCATTGCAGAGCTTGGCCTCCGCGAGATTGACCGCATTGGTGCTTTGTTCACCTGGACGAACAAACAGGATGACTCAACCCAATCTGTGTTATATCAAGTATTCATGTCCACAGAATGGGAACTTCGATCCCTTCTGGCCTCCCTCCGATCCCTTCTGGCCTCCCTCCGAGCTATTACGTGGATTGGTTCTGACCATGTACCACTCCTTCTATCCTCCATGGACAAACGACCTCGCCCCCCGCCTAGGTTTTGCTTCGTAAACTTCTGGCTGGCTCGGCCGGGATTTATCGCCGCGGTACATGAGCATTGGTCTGTTGCTAGGACGAAAGCACACGAGCAACAAGCAGGTGGTGGAGGCGGAGGTGGTGCTCCAGGACGACCAGGTGGTTGGCGCATCGTGGCAGATGCAACAGGTGTACAACTACGGTGCCAGCAACAACGGCTACTACTTGAGGAACGTGAGCAGCGTCGGCTACGACGTGCTTTTCGACCATATGTGGCATCGTGCGCCGGGACGCGACGACGTTGACGCCTGTCGGCTGGCGCCCGCCTATGTGGGGTGCGCAAGTAGGTGGCCAGGATAACGACCAGGAAGGGACCTGGTGTAAACTATAATTGGAACATAAGTGGGCCCTAATAGTTTCGTACTACTATAGTCTTTGCGTTGTGATGGGTCGTCTTGTGTCCTTAGCTCTGAATAAGAAAGGAGTGATGTCTTGTATGTAATCCCTAACTGTAATTAGAGTTCATTATGTGTTTAATCCGTTTCTTTTCGAACTTATGTCTTCTAAATTTGCTAATCAGAATTAGGTTATTCTCAATCAATATCAGTTTGTATGTCTTCAATAGATGACGTATAATAATCACTTTTTACATCACTAATAAAGAGCAAAAGTGCTTCTCCAACAGGTGATGTAGATGCAAATATTTTTCTCAGGAGGTTGGGCGTGAACTAAAATAGTTCACCAAATGATGAAAATTTGCATCACTTTCTGAATAAGAAAGGAGTGATGTGATGTATGTAATCCCTAGCTGCAATTAGATTATTACAGATCCTAACGGGCAAGAGTCTTGAATTTGGAAAAAAATCATAGCAGTATAGTTTATTATGTGTTTAATTTCGTTCTTTTCGAACTTATGTATTCTAAATTTGCTAATTAGAACAGTTTTGCTGAAACTCATTCGGCTGAGATTCATGTTTTGCCTAGAGATTGTGTTGCATAATGACTCGGGTGTGGCCCGTTCCTTTATGTTCTCGTTGTGTTTGTTGTGTTCTCATGTGTAGCGGCTGTTCCTTTTCTTTTCACCTAGTTTTTCTTTTGAGGGGAAGAATCAAGTTTTATTTGATCAAATGCCATATAGAGTGGAATATATCTTGGATCATGAGGTTTTCTAAGACACACATGGTTCCCCTGACCTAATAAATGCAAAAACTTGACTAGACTATGAGGGGAAACCCTAGCCGCCGCCCCTCGCACTTCCCTCCGCCCCTCTCCCTCCTCGCCGCCGTCCGCAACACCGCTGGGCGAAGCCTGGCCGGCTGGGCGGCGGCGGGGCTCCTTTCCCATCCATCTCGTTCTGGCTGGCGCGGGACAGTGGGGACGAGGGGAGCACCGGGCTAACGTGGGGTTCGGCGGCGCGGCGGCGGGTCTCCCGGCGATGTCGTGTGGCGCCGTGGTGGCGGTCTGTGAGTTGCGAGGTGGTGGCTGCGTTGGTACTGCCCGGTGGTCGCGGGTGTCGCCGGATCCGGATCGGATCCATCTGGATCCTGGCTTCAGACTCCGTCGGCCGCCGCGGGGTGAGGTTGGTCGTCACTGGCAACGTCGGACTGCTGGTTTTGGCGTCTGGAGATCTACAACGGGGTCTTCTCGATCCTCCTTTCCGGTGGGTCGAGCACCATGGATCTTCCATCTTCGCAAGGTTTTGGATCGTGGCTTGTCGCCGGATCCGGAGCAGGCGGAGGATTGGTGGCATAGGATGGGGACCGGAGGAAACTTTGGTCGGCTAGGCCGGCCCGACATCGTCGACGTCGCTCAACGCCGCTATGCTCTATGGAGGCGAAACCGAGGTCTCTCCTATCCACCTCCGAACACATCCCGGACGAAAGTCCAAAATTCATTCTGGATTGGGCGGCGGCGGCGTCCTACACGTCGTATCCTCCATGGAGGCACCGTCTTGGGAGGACCAGCTGTTCGGGGGAGAGATGATGTGGATGGTGGGCTCCGAGTACCTCCAGCAGTGGCGACGGTGCGGAGGTTGCCTGGTGGTGCGGCGTTGTATCTTCCGCGTCGATGACGATGATTTTGGCGGCATGGTGCGACTACATATCGTTCATGGATGCAGCTGGATGGACGAGCGCAGGGCGGTGGAGCTGTCTGGTGCCATGGTGGCGTCGACGGCAGCGAGACCGGGCAAGGTGTATGCAGCAGTATAGCTCTGAAGATGGATTGGTGGCAGGTGGCTGTGGCGGCCTCATACCTGGCGGGCGGCCGGGTTGAGGAGCATGCCGGACTGGTGGGTGCCCATACCCGGCAGGCGTCCAGGTTGGGACCTCAGGTCTTAGATGTTAGGTTTGGCTGCGAGGTCTGTTTGGTATTAGGCCCAGACCATCAGCGCCCCTTCATCAGTTAGATAGGAGTAGCGACAGAGGTTGCGAAGATGGTGGCTTTGGTCTTACTGTTGTACGACTTTGTAAGGTTTTGTGCTAATAATTAATAAAGTGGCCGTATGCATCGACCAGATGCAGAGGCCGGGGGTTTTCCTCCTTTTCGAAAAAAATGAGCTTTATTGTTCGACTCATGACTAGAAAATAAAATTATAGCTAAACATAGATGAACGATGCTGAATGTCCCTAATGATAGTACCATATCTCCCTAGATTGGCCTTGAGGATATCTCCCACTACTTGTTGGAATTTTAAGCAACTATAAAACATGCAAGAGTAAGTCTTCGGCCAAGGAAAGGGCCTCTCTGCATGCGATTGCTTTTAGCGTTCCAGGATCATGGACGCCATGAATTACCAGTGACGAGCTTCCCAAGTAGTTCCCCAGATCATCGTGAGTGACCGCTACCACTATGCCACCTCTTGACGACATGGATACTCTAGCATCTGCATGTACCTAGGCAAAGCCCAGAGGAGGTGCCTTCTGCCTTCTCTCACCACTTGGTACAAGACTTGGGTTAATAGTTTGTGTCGGCTTCGTCTTATATATATACACTATTCTGATCATGGGATCAGAATATTATTCTGATCACAACATGAACTTCTTGAGTTACACGCTGAACTTCCCTCTGTAGGAACCCGACCTTTAGGCTATCTTCGCAACCGTGTCTCCCCGCGCGAATTATTCTGGTTAGTCGTGTTCTATATGATATAAGTGTAATCTAGAAATGGTTTTTAGCAACTAACATGCCCGTTTTCAATAGGATTCTTGCTCGTTGGCGGATTTTGCTCTCGGGTCATGATGAACTTGCATTTTTTGCAATTTTACTGCCTGGGTTGTTCGACCGGAACTTCCCCCTGTACTAGGTTGAACTGCCGCCAACATTTCCCAAATGGGGCTTGCAATATACTGTTGGAAAGCTATGGACACGAGAATCATGACCCAAGTTAAATTTTTGGCAAAATGTAAGCGGTTTAAGAGCGGTTTTGAAAACCGTTTTTTCTTCATACAAAAAACATGAATCGTATTTTCGGTCGCATTTCTTAACCGTTTATCGGAATGAGGCAAATAATACGGCGTTGGAAAGCTGCTACAAACCGCTCCTTCCACATGTTGAAAGTTTTATCTAATTCCCTATTGTTAAAGAGTAATTTGGAAAATCGTAAAATTTTGCAAACCAAACAGCCGAATTTGTATTTTCGATGCCATTTCTAAACGGCTATTCTAATTGAGGCAAATGATATGGTGTTGGAAAGCTTATGAAAATGCGCTACTTTTTCATGCTGATTTTTTTTTTCTGATTTTGAATGGTTTAAGAGTAATTTAGAAAACGATACAAGTTCCACTGAGTTCATATTTGCGAGCTAATTTTTTAACCCTACGTCCGAATGCAGCAAATGATATTGCGTTGGACAGCTTGAACAAATGCGAAACTTTTTGGTATATATTGTTTCTCCCAATTCTTTACGGTTTTAAGTCAATTTTGAAAATGGCTAAAAATGTATCTTCGCCATAATTTCTACAAACTTTATCGGAATGATACAAATAATATACAGTTGAAAAGCTACGGAAAATGCGGAACTTTTTCATGTTGATGGTTTGCTTTGATTCCTAGCCATTTTCAAGTAATTTCGAAAATAGAAAGATCATTTGTTCTGCCTTTATCGCGAAATGGATTCTTCGAAAATGTACCGCGTGAAGAACTTGAACTTCTCGGCATGTCTACTTGAACTTCACTTTGTTTTTCACGTGCTTTTTTTTGCTCATAACTCTGCATCCACTCATCGGAATTGAGCAAGTGATATACCGATGGAAAGCTGCTGTAAACACGCAACTTTCCCGTGTTGATCATTTTTTCATACTCACGACGGTTTTAAAAGTTTTTCATCTAAAATTCATTCAGTGCAGTAGTTGAACTTCCTGCTGTTTTCACGTTGAACTTCTGTGACGTATTTTCGTTTGTAATTTTCTCATCCATTCGTCAGTGTTACACAAATGATATTTCTTTTGTACAAACCTTTCTCACAATAACTTTTTTAACTTTCTCCAACCGAGGACTTGAACTTATAACAACAAAACTTTTAGTCTTTGCTTTTTATTCTTTTTAATACAAAATGCACACCGTGTAGTACGTGAACTTCTCACAGTTATCAATCTGAACTTCTCTCGGTTATGTGAAAATATCTGAGTTTTTTATGAATATTAATCTGAATTTCTTAATCCATTTTCATGAATTCTGAAGCGCTCTATTTTTTAAAAGTTGAACTTCTTGTTATTTTATTTTTGAACTTCTTGTTTCCATTCTTTAATAACGAGGGAAATCTGAGTTTTCTATAATAATCGAACTTCTTCGTCTTCTTAATATGGACTCCCTGTTTTTTTTCTTAATCTTTTTATGCAATTTTGAAGCGCTCTATTTTAAAAAGTTGAACTTCTTGTTATTTAATTTTTGAACTTCTTGTTTCCATTCTTTATTAACAAGGAAAATCTGAGTTTTCTATAATCATCGAACTTCTCCATCTTTTTAATTTGTACTTCCTAGTTTTATTTCTTTTAGTAACGAAAAAAATCCTACTTTTGATAGATATCGAGCCGCTCCGTTTTTAAATTTGAACATCTAGGTTAACTTTAACAAAGAAAATCTTTTTATAACATTGTTTGAGATGCTTTTTTTAATGACTTTCTTTGGGTTTGTAACAAGCATTGCACCAGTTGCGCCGCACCAATGATAGTAAACCTCTGATTTTACTGACGATTTGAAAAGTTTTTTTCATCTAAAATTCATTCAGTGTAGTAGTTGAACTTCCTGTTGATTTCACGTTGAACTTCTGTGACGTATTTTAGTTTGCAATTTTTCTCATCCATTCGTCAGTGTTATACAAATGATATTTTTTTTGTACAAACCTCTCTCACAATAATTTT